AATAATACCTGAAATAAAGCAGAAATAAATACAATAAATAAAAGTAAATAATCAAAAGAAGGCCCAAATGTGTGTTTTCGGCATTCTAAGAATAAGAATAAAGTATTATTTTTAAATACAATTTTAAGAATTTGTATTGTGACAATTACAATATTTTATTTTCAAAGTTACATATATAATTGGAATATACTGTTACATATGGTGGAGTGGAACATACTGTTTACTATTTTTTTGTTTTAAATAGTATTTTAAATATGAACAGAAATATTACTTTGATTGAAGACACTATTTTGTGGTATCATTCGTGTGAGCGTTTATTCTTTGAAATTAAAATAGATTTAGATTTCACAATTGCATTAAGCATGTATAATATAATTGTAAAATACTTGTCTATAAAATAATTGTCAATAATAATTATATACGAAAATATATAAATTCTTATATTCACGATATATTATATATGAAAATATAAACATAATTTAAATAATTTAATAAGAAAAATAATTATATATGGATTATATTTTATCTATGATCCTTTAGAGACGAATTTTTAATAAGCAATAAGCAATAAATATTTCAAGCTAACTTTACAAAGTGAATCACTAAGATATAAGATTATGCATACATTGAAAGATTAGATGATATAACTATTTTTTTGTTTATTTATGTTTACAACATAAATAAAGTTTCTGTCCTTGAGAGGTCAGGTGCTTTATTTTTTCATTGTAAGTATCAGTTTTTTACCATTGTGTCAGATTGTTACCAAGGAACAAACTAAAATAAGAGATAGATGAGCATTAAAATTAGAAATGAGTTCGAAACTAATTCTTATATTCCTGAAACTCGAATCCAAAATTTTGTGAAATTTCGCAACTTTCGCAACTTTCGACACTTGAAATACTGATGTTATTTTATATTAAAATTAATACTTTTATATAAATTTTCATTCAGTTTCATACAGTTAAACGAAATATAAACAAAATATAATAACATATCTTGATATAGAATATTCTTGTTTAAAGACAATATTCTTGTTTAAAGACAATAATATTCTTTCTGGAGTTAATGTACTTGTATTTGTATGCCGGCTATAGTACCGGCTTGTAGTGATGTACTAGAATACATTTCAAAGTATACAAAGAATTGATGGAGATCTAATAAAGTATATTTTTAACACATTTTCTTAGATTTTGGTATATTTATTGTATTATCATTATTGCATATCTGCTTATATCATTAAAAACGAAAACCAACTAAGCGTTTGCGATCTACCTTACTAAACATTTGAGATATACATACATCAAATAATTCTTTATTCATTGATTTCATATTTTTTAATGCTGGTGTGAGTTCCATCTGTAATTTTATATTATCGTTTTTAAAAGCAATTTAAGATTTTTCGATCTGATCATCAGAGTATTTATATAAGCTAATCACTATGCTAATTATATTGATTTGTTTTGCGACTCATCAAAGAGTTTTAGAATGTTTGTAACAAAATTGTTTATTTAATTTATAATTTATATCTTTATTTCTCATAACATATAATAAATAAACTGTTTCTTATCTTTATGGAAAGTTTCGAAAAATTTCCAACAAAATATTTTTGGATTTCGAGGTTTCGAGGTTTTGAATGACTCATTCCTAGTTAAAGTTTGTCGAATAATCTTATTATTTCTATGAAAATATAAGTTAAGGAGTAAGATATCAATGTAAGATTACTTGCTAAGACAAATACTATAATAAGATCCATAATGGCGTAATACGTAAGATATTTCCGATCTCATCCTAATAAATCCAAAAATGAAAAACAATGCAAGTAATGTATTCCATAAAATAAGCACACTCCTTAGTTGGAATCTTAGTCTATTCGACATGTAACGCTTTCCAACGAATATCAATGGCTGAGCAGTAAAAACATTTCAGATAATGACTTGTTATTGTTGCTAAAATATCCTGGTATGCGATGCTTTTTTCGAAATTGAAGACACTTTGGGTATAATTTATTCCACTTTCTTCATCTATTTATTATTATTATTCATTTTATTTCTTTGATCGTCAACGACTCAACGGTTAGACTTTTCAGTCCATTCTATCAGTTTACTGAAAGTAAAACAGAAAAATTAATGAATATAATTTATTTAAATGTAAGGTAATAAACGATTATAAAAATATTTATTGCACATATTTTAATGAAAAAAAAATGGAAAAAGCAAAAGGAATTCTATTTCTTGTTGGTAAGGACATTGTAAATTAAAACAATCAAGTCAAAACAAAACGTCAGAATAATGTGATTTAATATGCTTAAGTAAAAATTTTCTGAGTTTTGAGTAGCAATGTCATTTATACAGTTAGTCATAAAAATTCACATATATTTGTCGAGTCTGAAATATTTAAAACAAAAAAAGAAGTAGGTATTTTACACATTTTATGGATCTTAATTAACTTTTTGTATAAAATTAGATTTTTCCCTGCATGGTTATTTAATTTATTTAATTATTAATTATTTTTAATTATTAATATAAATAATATTTTATTATTAATTATTAATAAATAATATTTAATTATTAAGTATTAATTATTAATTATTAATTATTAATTATTAATTATTATTTAATTATTAAATATTAATAATTAAATTAATATTTAATTATTTTTCTATTCTGCATGGTCGTAATAGTCGTTCAAAACATACTTTTATTAATTTATTTATGTCGAGAAAATGAAGATAATTAAGTAAAAATTTATTTCTCATGGGAAATACTTACATTACTTCTGCTGTGCTCCTTTATATGACGAGATTATTTTTAAAATATATGTAGATTTAAAACATTTAGTTTCAATATTCGGAATAATTTTACAACCTTAATAAATAAATTGTTGCAAAGAAAAAGAAAGATGTTTGAAAGTATGGAAGACGACAGTAGTGTTAATAATGATGTTTAGACTACGTTATGTTTATGCATTTAACAATAATAACATATTTATTAAATTGTGATAACTCATCAAGCCGTATTATGAAAGAAAATATCTCATTAATGGTATTGCACAATCGATATAATTATTACGAGATATTTCATTCATGAAAGCGAAATTAATTAATAATAATTAAATGTTAAATAATTAAATAATTATATAAATACTTAATAATTATTTATTTTTAATTAATTATAATTTGTTCGGGATGTTCAAAAAAAATAGTGCCAAACTTCATGAACATATAGTACTTATAAAGATAAGCAAATATATAGATCCAAGAATTATTAATTTTGGAGTTATTAGATTTTTTTCTTCTACTTTAAACCTATGATAGCGGTATAACAGATTCTATGCCATCTTCGTTATCTGGAAGAAATATAACTATATAAATAAGTACATATAATAAGCTTTCTGGAAGAAATGTAAGTATGTAAATAAGAGTATATATTGACGTCATTCACTAATCATATTCAGAAGAATGTATTTCGCTGCCTTAGTATTACAGCGTTGCACTAAAAATTTTTCAAGTAATAACAGAAATGTCGGAGATCTTTCAATGCGTGTATTTATGAGAAGACATACAGAAGTGTACGAGACATATTACATATTATGCTACGAATATATCTTAGTGACAAAAACATCTCATTACTGCGAAATTAATTGTTCCTGAATTCATTTACAAAGACTATTTTGCTCGTTTTGATCACCACTGCACGTTCCTGAAATGTGACACG